GGAGGACTCATTGTTGGGAGGATTCATTGTTGGGAGGACTCATTGTTGGGAGGACTCATTGTTGGGAGGATTCATTGTTGGGAGGATTCATTGTTGGGAGGATTCATTGTTGGGTCCACTCCTTGTTAAAGCCCATCCATACATGTGTGATGATCTTCTTTAGATCATGATAGGAGATCCCCCAAAAAAATATGCCCCCACGATGCTCCCCCATGCAACCTTTCTGATGAGGTATAAATCATGTCTCTATATCAATCGGTTATTGTATTCTTGGTGGACACACAGACATTTTGTCTTTATTAGTATAAATTATACATGTGAACAAATTGTTGATGGTTGTCCACCCCACACACCCTCTGATAAACCTTGTGGAGCAGATTAGGAGCAGGTTATTGATGCACTTTCCCCTAAAACTGCTGAAACCAGATGTGTGGGAAACCAGTCTCCAGTCTCTATGACCTGTGGGAATGCTCCCACATCCATTCCCCCTCTACTATCCTCTCTCAGCATGACGACCACTCATTTTTTCCTCTTTCCTTACAATCCAAGTGTTTTGATAAATACTTGAATCCTCCCCTCCTGATAATGTCACCATCCTCAACCTCTCTCCTGTGAATGCCTCACCCTCTCCTTATTCCCTTTTCCACTCTTTAATCCCTAATTCAATTCCCTTCCTTGAATAAACAGACGCATTCTCCGCCTTTCAATTCCAATTTCCTTTCTCCTTGTCCGCTTAATAACCTCTTCCCAGTCGCCTCATCTCTCTCCGTCCATCCTCCCTCCTCGTCAGTATTGATCACGTTCCAATTATACAGTTAGCTCTCATCTCTCTTGATTGCTTGTCCTTATTTATTCTCTTCCCTTTGCCACTCTCATCGTGACTGTGCTAATTTGCTTCCAGATCCTATGTAGTCGCTCACAACATACAGTCAATTCACTTTACAGTACATTCTATGAAGCATTTTGAAGACGTGATAAGGCGCTATATCAAATGCAAGGATTATTATTATTATCATCATCATTTCTTGCCCGTTTCTCTTTACAGTATATAACTCTCCCTGTTCCCCAATGTATCAATCTCCAATTCCTCAAAGCCTTTTCTCCCTCCTGACATTACTTTCTTCCCTCTTTCAAATCATCCTTGCATTACCTCCCCCCTCCCACCGCCACCCCAGACCTCTCTTACCCCCTTCATTCCCATCTTGCTTGCAACTTGTTCTGGCCCACTGAAACACATCCCTCCCAACCCTAGGTTCCTGGTGTGTTCTGAGGCGAAGAGACAGCTAAAACAGGGGCTCTCAAAGCAGCGCTTGCAAAGATAGAGCAAGTGTCCTGTTCTTCCCATTAAATCTAAACTGATGGCTCATTGACTGGGCGCTCAGAGATGTTGCTCAACGCGAAGGGCTCTCTCTCTGTCTCCTCTCTCTCTATATATCTTCAAATCCCGCAGGGAGATAGATGCAAAGACGGTTTTGTTCCAGATGGATAAAAGATTACACCATTGTTTGCAACACACAAGTTAAAGGCTGGACACATTCTCACCACCAAACAACCCTGTTCTGTCTGTCTACATCTTAGAACTTAAACAACCTCTGCTTTTTTGCAAAAAATATATTTTTTTAATATATATAATATAAAGAAAAATTGTGCCAAAGTTTCAAAAAAAACGATCCTGATATTTTCCGAGAGGGAGTGTGGGAGTGGGGGGAGTGGGGGAGTAGGAATCCGCTGGTGATAGGCGATTGATTTTTAGGGACATCTGTAGCTGAATTAGTTTGAAGGGAAAACACTCATTTAAAATGAAAGCCATTTGCAGTAACTTGTAGAGGATGTGAGGGGCTCATCCCCCCCTTCTCCATCTCTCTCTCCCCTTCCCCTCCTCCCCCATTCCCCCCTCTCCCCCCTCCTCCCCCATTCCCCCCTCTCCCCCCTCCTCTCTCCCCCTCCTCTCTTCCCCCCTCTCTCCCCATCCTCTCCTCCCTCCTCTCTATTTTCTCTCTACTCCCCCCTCTCTCTCCTCTGTCTCTCTCCCCCCTTCCTCTCTCCTCCTCTCTCCCATCTCTTCCCTCCTCTCTCCCCTTCTCCTCCCTCCTCTCTCCCCTTCTCCTCCCTCCTCTCTCCCCCCTCTCTGTTTCCTCTCTCTCCCCCCACCTCTCTCCTCCTCTGACTCCCCCCCCACTCCTCTCTCCCCATTCTCTCTGCCCCCTCTTCTCTCCTCCTCTCTACCCCTCTCTTCCCATCCTCTCCTCCCTCCTCTCTCCCCCCCTCTCTGCCCTCCCTCCTCTCCACACCACACCCCCCCTCAAAAAGACATGGAAGGTATTCGCCAACTGGCTCTCAATGTGCTGTATTATTCACTACTTGGTTCTAGAGTGCGCATTTAAATTTACCAACCAAAACAAGCCTTATCAAGGAATTTTCCCCAAAAAAATCATATCTCTCTCTCCCCCCCACCCCCCACCTCCTCCCATCAACGCGGTCCAATCTAGGGTTATTATAAAAACGGAATGAGAAATAAAATTCTCTCCCATACAGTGGGGATTAGCCAAAGAGATTAACACGGCTCTGACTGGAAGAACTGGCTATTCCCTTGTGTAAAAAACTGGAACAAATTGAATTACAATAGGGATGAGATGGAATGAGATGGGCAGGTGAAAATGTCAATTACATTGCTGTGGGACAGGAGGGTCATTTGCCGTCAGATGGTGATGGTTTGCTCGGGTCCTGACCCAACTGTGCAGCGCCTTGGAACGTACTCCTGACGTGAAAAGCGCTTTATAAATGGAATCTTGTTGTTGTTGTTGTTGTTTGGCCTTTGGGGCTCCTGTTGTGGCTTGTTTGGGTTTAAAGATGACTGTTTTGGGTTGACAAATTTCCTGTTTTATTCCCTTATTGCTGTCTTATCGATTGATTTCCTGTAGTTGACCGGTTGGGGAGGATGTGACATGATGACCATGTCATTTCACCCCACAAAATACACAGTCACTACACTTTACAGTATATTAGGTGAAGCGCTTTGAGACGTCTCAACGATGTGATAAGGTGCTGTATCAAATGCAAGGATTATTATTATTATGTCTCTACCTCTATTGATGTGGTTGGTCTGGTTTAGGTTTAAAGTTAGTTTATTGAGCTAAATTCCTTTTTTTTCTTAGCGAGTCGGATTATTTATTGACCAGTTATTTTAATCCATTCCAGCGCTAAATTGTTGTATTGACTATCATCCACTGATGATTTAAAATAGGTTTGACGAGATTGGGTTGGTTCTCCACGAGTTAAATAGATTTTTTTCTGGTCGGATAGGGTTGGGTTAATTTCCTTTCAGTACAGAGACGTTCAGCGAGTTTACTGCATGAGAGTTGGTGGGATTTTCACCTCCAGAAATAGCCATGTCCTATATTCTCTGTGCAGAATAACAGATAATAATAATCCTTACATTTGATACCCTTTACACCCTTTAAAGCGCTTCACACAATAGCCTGTAAGTGGAGTAACTGTATTTTGTGGGCGATTCTAGTCAGAGGGAACACGGTGAATGCGTTGGACAGATAAACACCTGCCGGCTTACAGTTTGGGGAGAGAAGGGTTGATAGACTGATGGAGTCAATGGTGTTGCTATTATTATTGCTAATCAATGTCTTGGTTATCAGTCTTGTCCTGTCTCGGCGACATCTATTACACAGCAGATCCCAATGATTTGCCCTCAAGGATTTGACTCGTTACTGCTGGAATCCACATCAGTATATATTTTTTTCTTTGGATTTCTGTTTGAGAGAGAAACCTGACACACTCACACACACACTCACACGCTCACACACACGTTATAGCTGTAAGATCACAACGTCCATTAATAGTTGCCTGGGCTGGAAGATTTGTGTTTGACTGTTCAATTAGAAACTTGCCCGACCAACATTTCCCCATAGACTTAGACGCCTGAGTTCCCTTTAGACATCGCAAACGCTGATGAGAGAACACAGAGCGGAGCGATTGGGTTGAGTTGATTCCAATGGTTTGGCGATTAGAACCGGTCATGATTTGACACTGTCAGCTCCAGCTGCCTCCATAACCCACAAGATAAACAAAACCACTGTATCTTGCTGTCATTCTGGAGTCAAATACAGTTGACCGGAATCCACAGACCCATTCAGCCCAAACCACAGCGATTCCATTGCTTATTGCTGTGAATGACTGGTTCTGAAACGACACGATGCCCACAAAATCTACACAGTCCATTCACCTTACAGTCTATTTCTGTGAAGCGCTTTGAGACGTCTCAAAGGATTATTATTATTATTATTATTATTATGATGATGATGCCTTTTAGCAATGACTGTAGCGCAGTAAAAAGGAATTTGCGTTCGAGATAAACAAATAAAAACAGTTCACAATACAATATATCTTGTGCACTAAATAGTTTGTCTCTTGAAATTGAGATGGACTTTATCTTTTTTTGGACCCTACTCTTCTCGAACTGGTGGGGGTGGGGGGTGGGGGGTGGGGGGGGAGAGAGATGTCCTACTTATTTATCCCCCTTAAAAGTCAGCCTGGAATTTTTCACGTTGGGAAAGCCACGTTAAAGACACTTTTCTTTGCGTGAGGGGGAAAAACATAATAATACTGGAATAATTTGCCATCGAAAAAAAAGCGCTCTACCGTTGTGTGTGTGTATGTGTGTGTGTGTGTGTTGTGTGCGTTGTGTGTGCATGTATGTATGTGCATATATATATATATGTGCATATATAATATATACATGGGTTTATGTGCATATATATGTATGTATGTGCACATATATATATGTGTGTCTGTATGTGCGTATATATATACATATGTATGTGCATATATATATATGTGTGTATATGTGTGTGCGTTTGCTACAAAGACAACTGTCTATCAGAGACCAACGGATCGAACAAAACATTAACAAGTAGACAGAGGAACGACACTGACGAGTGATCGACACTTAAACCCAAACGGAGATAACAGTATAAAGTGCCACTTACCAGAGATCTTCCATCTCGAGTGTTGTGGTTGTCTTTTGGGGGGTGGACAGTCTGGATACAATCCTTGCAGAGAGGCTGAGCTGGAATCTGTCTGATTGTGGGGGTGTCGGTTTGTTGTGTGGGTGGTGGTGGTGGTGATGGGGGGGTGGGTGGTGATGGGGGGGGGGTGGGGGGTGGGTGGGGGGGAGAAAGACCCCAACTTTATCTTCTTCCTGCGTATCTATGTGTAAAAAAGTATTCACAGGCTATTTTCTCCCATCATTTTTACAAGGGGGCTTCTTGTTAAACTCCTGCCTGGTTGCCTTGGGGTGGGTGTCTGGGTAGGTAGGTGGGTGGGTGGGTGGGTGGCTTCTGTCTCCCCCCTTGCACCCCACCCCACCCCCCCACCGCCTTGATGCTAACAGTCCAGGGGCTGGTGAGTGATAGAGAGTGCAACAGCCGAGCTGAGGGATGCCATTAACCTCTTGGTCCACCAAAACGCCTGTGTGTCTGTGTCTCCTCCAACTCCTGGACTGTGCTGACTTTTTCCCTGTTCAGAGTGAGAGTGTGAGAGAGAGAGAGAGAAGGAGAGGGAGAGGGAGAGGGAGATACAGGCAAAGGCGGCACAGGGTGATGTAATGCCCAACTCACAGCCTATCAGTACACAGACCCCCACATCATCTCCCCCTCCATCAGCAGCCACTGCCCCCAACACAACACCAACAACTACTTGTATTTGGGGGAAGGGGAGCGCCCCCTCACACAGGGTAGGGTCCCCTCCACCACCATGGAGGGGGTCAGACTAGGTTTCACTGTTAACTCGCCAAGAGCAGCAGAGTTGCAATGCTTTAGTTCTCTTTAGGTCCTCTCTCTCTCTTCCTCTCCCCCCCCACACCCCCCTCCTCTCTCTCTACCTCCCGCCCCCCCCCCCTCTCCCTCCCCTCTTCCTCTCTCTCTCTCTCTCTCTCTCTCCCCTCCTCTCCCCTCCTTGCTCTTCCACCCTCGCCTTTCCCCCCCCCTCTCTCTCTCTCCTACCTTCCTCTCCACCTTTTCCTCTCTCCTCTCTTCCTTTCCTCCCCACACCCCCTCTTCCCCCTCCATCCCCTTCTTTCTCTCATTCTCCTCCTTTTCTCTCTCCTCTCTCCCCCTCCCTCTCCCCTCTCCCCCCTCCCCCTCTGCACCCTCTATACCCTTCTCCCTCCCCTCATTTTTTTCTCTCCTCTCTCTTTCCTCTTCTCTTAATTCCTCCCCCCCCCAACCCCCTTCCCTCTCTCTACACCTTATACTCACTTGTTACCGATCTCTACCCATCATTTTATTCCCAAGCCTGTGTTTGCTTGTTTCTTATACCCACCGAGAGAAAGAGAGAGGGAGGGAGGGAGGGAGACAGAGAGAGGGGAAAGACAGATAGAAATATGAACCAGACAGTAAATTTCCCACACCGTGCGGTAAAACCAAAGTTTTTACGCGATTCGCTAACTCCACACGGACCCAAATAGCAAACATCGCGCATTTGACGTGTGTTGGTGTGAACTCAATTCACTTCAGAAGGGAAAATAACCATTACCTCAAACCAGTATTCCCTCCTCTATACTCCCCATCCTCTTCCCCTCTTCCCCACTTTCCCTCCACCCTCTCCACCTTTCCTCCCATCCCTGCCTTCTCTCTCCCCCCCTTCAATCTTCTCCCCTGGACACCTTCCCCCTTTGCCCCTCTCTACCCCCAAATACCCCCTACTAGTTCTTTATTTAAGTCATCAAACCATCCATTTGAAATTGCCCCTATATAATGTGTTTGAGAGGATTAGGTAGGAGCCACAACCCCCCCCCCCCCCCATCCCACACACAGACACCACCACAGAAAGATATATTAGATCTATAAAGATATGGCAGTAGATCTTTTTCATTAAAATAAAAACTCCCTTTTTTTTTCTGCGTCTCTCGTCTAATGACTCTGATCCCTTCGTGTCCCCGATTCAAGCTGCAATGTGTAATGTGCCATGGAAACCGAATAACCGAAGAGGCAAATAAAGATGCAAAGATATCCATCACAAGAGAGGTTTCCTCTGATCATTCTCACACACACACACACAGACACACACACACACACTGTGGTGTGGTGTATGCAATCTGGAGCACATCTTGTTATGAATCTCAGCACTCCTCTGTAACATCCAGGAGTCAGACTGCCCATGTTTTATATGATTTAGCAGCAGTACACACACACACACACACACACACAGCAGCAAAAAAAAATGTTAGCAATAATCAGGTAGTTTAAAGCTTTTATCATTTTTAGGGATCAGCTGAGATTTCCTCTCCCTCGCTGTCTCGTGTTTAATATTTAGTGCCTTTCACAGCTATTAAAGTATAAGCCTGTGACTCAGAGATCTGTTTTGTCTCTAACACTTGAGGTAAAAACAAACAAACACAACAGGGAAATGGCTGGAACCAAATTAGAGCTTTAATTCAAAAATGTCTCCCAAATAATTGTACTGTGTATAGGGTTCTTTTTTTTTTGTGGGCTGTAAATTAAGATTGAGGTTTATCACTGATGGGGTTAGTGTGAGCTCCAGTTAATGTTTCTCTTTCTCTTCCCCCATCACCCACACCCATGTTAATAGGAAATTGGGGGAGAATTATGACTATTTCTGTGGTTCCTGCTAGTGCCACAATATCAAAGTCTAATGCACTATAACAACGGCAATAAATTACATTTGTACAGCGCCTTTCACATCAGGAGGACGTCCCAAGGTATTGCACAGTTAGGGATCCTGACCTGAGCTGGTGGTTGGGATCAGGAGGGGTGGAGGGCGGGGTCGGTAGGGGTAGGAGGGTGACCGAAGAGGAGGGTCTTGAGTCAGGTCTGGTCCTGTTGGGTTGGCTGCCCCAGCCCCAGCCTATGGGCTAATGTCGCCCACCTGACCGCTCGCTCCCGGTCCTCGCGTGCGCAGTATGGCTGCCGCTCTGACCCAAGCCCCCTCACCCCCTCAGCCCCTCCCTCCCTCCCTCCCCCCTCCTCTCCCCAAACCTTCCCCCTCTGCATCTCTCCCGCTCTGTCCTCCTCTCTCTCCGTCCCCCTCGCCTTCTATCCCCACTTAACCCTTCCACAACCTCCCTCTGTTCCAGTCTGGGAATCCTCCGCCGGGCTCACCGTGGCACTCGGCATTGGCTGTCCAGCAGCAGCCACACCGACTGCCCCATTCCCCACCACACTCGCCAGCCACCCCGGACACAGACACAGGGAGCCAACCTCTCCTCCCTCATCCCCATTTCCCCCACCCCTGCCTCACAACCTGGACCCCTCTCCCTCCCCACACACCCTTCTGTCAACCGCTCCCTCCACATTGGACTACAAAACGTCCGCTCCCTATGTAACAAGGCCCTGGTCATCATCCTTGATGAGAGCATTGACATCATGGCCTTATCGGAAACCTGGCTCACCCCAGGCGACACCTTCCCCCTCACGGAGGCCACATCACCCGGCTACACCTCCCACCACATCCCTCGCCCCAACCACCGTGGCGCTGGTGTAGCCCTTATCTCAAGGACACCACTTGCCCTATCCCCCTACTCCTCTGGCTCTTTCCCCTCTTTTGAGCACCTCACCATCTCCCACCCCTCCTATCTCTCATTCAAAATCCTCCTCCTCTACCGGCCCCTAAAACCTCTCCCAGCTTCATCTCCGATATTTCTACCCTACTAACATCTCTCTGCCTCTGCTCTGATCGCCTCATCATCCTGGGCGACTTCAACTTGCACTTCACTCCCCCTGCTCCATCTCCTCGGAATTCTCCTCCCTGCTCTCCTCGCTCAACCTCTCCCTCCACATCAACTCCGCCACTCACAGTCACGTGAGTCCCCCTCCTCCGTCCCCCCTGCCACCCCACGCAGGTCATCTCCTCCAACCTTCACTGCGAGGAGATGCTGGATTTCCTTGAATCCAAAATCAAGGGAATCCGCTCTGCGGTCACTGCCCCTCCAATATCCACCTCACCCCTTCCCTCCCACACTCCGACTCCTATCCATCCTCCCCTACACACCTTCGAACTTGTTTCCCCACCCTCTGTCACCAACCTCATCCTGTCCCTGAATCTCACCAACTGCTCCCTTGACCCCATCCCCAGTCCACTCCTTATTTCCCAGCTCCACCTCCTTGCCCCACTTCTCACAGACATTATCAACCTATCCCTCTCCTCTGGCTCTGGCTCTGGTTCCATTCCCCTAAAAACTGCCATCGTCACTCCCACTTTGAAAAAACCCTCCCTTGATGCGTCGCAGCTATCAAGCTACCAGCCCATCTCCAACCTCCCCTTCCTGCCTCCCAGCTGCGCTCTTTCCTCTCTACCCATTCATTATTCAAACCCCTTCAGTCCGGTTTCTGTGCTGCCCATAGCTGCTCTGGAACTCCATCCCCCAGTGCCTTCGCCGCTTCCTCCCTTTCCTCCTTCAAAGCCGGTCTCAAGACCTTTCTCTTCAACTGTGCCTTCAGCTCCCCTCTCGACTCTCTACCCCCTCCTCGCTCCCTCCCTTCCCTCCCCTCACCCTGACCATTTCCCCCGGGCTTGGGTCCTGACCCAACTGTTCAGCACCTTGGGACGTCCTCCCGACATGAAAGGCGCTCTATAAATGAAATCTTGTTGTTCTTGTTGTTGTTGTTGTCTTGAAGAAGGCAAGTGAGGGGGTGAGGTGGAGGGACTGTGGGATGGAATTCCAGAGGGTGGGGACAGATAGGCTGAAGGCTCCCCATCCCATACCTCACCTCTCTAACCCTGATGGCATATAATGTGTTTGCTCCTAACCTCTCCCTAACAGTGTAGACTAAATTATGGTACAAAAGTGCCACGTCAACCAACAACAACAACGACAACAAAATTACATTTATAAAGCGCCTTTCAGGTCGGTAAATAAAACCCCTTAAATAACAGCAAAAAAGACATCATGAAGTGTCAATTGTCAAAACCTACAGCCCCAATAAACCAGGTTCTTCCCCTACATAACCCACATCCCATTAGGTACTTAAACCCTGACATTCTTCCTTTAAAAAAAAGCTACTGTAGTTAGCCGAGCGGCAAATGCTGTGATTAGAGGCTGGATTGGGGGTGTTATGGGTGGGGGGAATTTTCTGGAACGATGAGATCAAA